ATATATTGAACTTAAAACTGCGAATTTAAATACAAAACTATATAAAAAATCACAAACTCATACAGTTCAATGTTGTGAAGTAAGCTTAGGGTGCAAGGTCTTTACGTTAGGGTTAACAGCTATCGAGTGGCGATATTTATATTAATCATTATATTGACAAATTATCTCAAAATAGAAAACTTTTTTAGGAAAGAAGTTGATCCACAATTAAAAAAATATATCTATTTTGAGTTAATTTTTCAATATAATGATTAATATAAATAGATATACGATGCAGCATGATTTAAGCTACTATATAAAAATAAGTCACGTACATCCCATGCAGTTTTTTCCAGAAGCAACTTTTCTAACGCTTATAGAAAAGCCCTTTTGGCCAGTACTAAATACAACCTCTACATAAAATGGCAGTTACTATGATAAGCACCACCCACATTCATATTGTAAAATCCAGAAAACAACGTTTCATCACGTGCTTTACTTAACATCCTATGATTTGTCAAATGGGAGATACAGCAATTGGAATAATTGGTACTGAAATTGACACTTTCGACTAGGATTGGCTAAAAGTTTTACAACTGAGGTTTAACACGCCCAGACGCAGTTTTATAAAGAAAACAGACTAGAAAAAGATACCAATCATAGATGGCAGAACCAGTGCTGAAGTGAAAGGAAATATCTTTAAAAAATTGTTGAAAAACATTTCTTCTTAGAGGGCGCTTATTTACAGTCTAAAACGTATTTTAGGAATTTTTTCATTAAATTTCTTTTTAAACTTCATTAAAGAATACAATTTTGTACAAATAATTGAATGTTATGCTACTATTTATAAAAATAAAATCAGAAATCCATTAAAAGATAAGTTCTCTATCATTTTTTTCAATTCACAAATGCACACTTGCATTGCCTACTAAGAAAGTTAGTACAGGTAGTCATCGGGTTAAATGCCCCCAGTGGCACAGCGGTATGTCTTACGACGCTAGAAACCGGATTTCGATACCCGTGGTGGGCAGAGCACAGATAGCCCATCGTGTAGCTTTGTGCTTAACTTCAAACAAACAAACTGTCCTTAAATACTTTTTAACATTTGTGTCAGGCATGAAGTTAGAGTGCCAGGCTGCGAAACGTAAGGTCCAAGATTCGAACCGAAATATGGCTCTGATCATGCTTCGTTTATTTCATCTATAACATGAGGTGCTTTTCATGTTGTAAATACCAAATAAATTTAAAAATAAGGCCCCCGATGGCTCAGCTCATTGAGAGCTTATATTGCTAGAATTCGGGTTTCGATAACCGCGGTGGACAGAGTCTCCTATGCGAAGAAGAACGCTACAACTGACGAAGACTGACACGACGTTGTTCGAGCGCTCTGGACTGAACACAAGAAACATAAGTTGTATAATTTACCTTTGCATTGTTTTCAAACTAAGAGTGACCTATTGACATCTAAGGTTGCACTTGAAACATTGCGATTTTTAAAATATGCTTTCAAGGAAACAAAACGAGAGAAAAGGAGAAAATTATATGTTGATAACCTTAAAAAGTCTTTGTCCCAGCGCAGAGATCATTACTGCAAGAATAGAGATAAGGTTAGAAACAGTAATGCTGAATATGCGAAACAAGCCGTAGCCATTAATCCAACTAAAGAAAAGGCTGCCACTCTGGCTAAAAAAAATCTATAGCAAAGGTATCAGCAAAAGCCAGAAAACGTCGAAAGCTATCTCAAAGAATAGCTACGACGAAGACAGGCTTAGAACACAGTCACTATGAGGACTTGGTAACAAAAAAAAAAAAAAAGACTCTGAGACAACGGTAAAAATGTTTAAATATAAAATTAGGAAGTAGGAATGGGAGAACCAAAAAGTAAGAGCAAGTTAGGTCTTTTAAAGTACAGTGTTTCCCGGCATGGCCAGGTGGTTTGGGTGCTCGACTCGCAATCTGCGGGTTCGAATCCCCGTCACACCAAACATGCTCGCCCTTTCAGCCATGGGGACGTTATAATGTTACGGTCAATCCCACTATTCGTTGGTAAAAGAGTAGCCCAAGAGTTGGCGGTGGGTGATGACTAGCTGCCTTCCCTCTAGTCTTACACTGCTAAATTAGGGACGGCTAGCGCAGATAGCCCTCGTGTAGCTTTGCGTGAAATTCAAAACAAATCCTACAAGTTAGGAATGGACAGGATAACATTACGACACTTGGTGTTTTTTGATAGGATGCAACCTTAAACCATTCCTACTTTGTGTTTAGTTTGAACTTTGATCCAATTATAGACTTGAATTTAGTTTTATCAGTAGCTAATCCTTTCTAAATACTCAACAAATTAAAAAAATTCAAAAATCAGCGATTTTGATACTATTCTTTTGGCCCACTCCTTACCAGTGAGATAGCTATAATGTCTCCCATAAGCAAAGTATGACTATTGGAGCTTCCTGTCTCACTTCCGACATGAAACACCCTACTTATGATGTCATGCATTTCGTTAACATCACGTAATTTGATTAATACATGTATCTGTACTTGGATGCTGAAACAAAGTTTACAACAGAGAAATTTAGCTATATATATCTTTCATTTAGTTTCAACAATTATCAAGTTATTTGTTTGTTTAATTTCGCACAAAACTACTCAAGCTATCTGCACTAGCTCTTCATAATTCTTTCTGAAATGACAGACACCACCCACTCTCAACTCTTAGGCTATTCTTTACCAACGAATAATGCGATTGACCATCACATTGTAACGCTCTCTTGGCTAAAAGGATGTTCGCTAAAGAGATTCGATTCCGCCACCACCAGAGTGCTCTAGCCACCAGGCCATGCCAGACCTAGGTAGTTTTGCAAGATAAAATAATTTTCATGAGTGTTGCATTCCAGAGGCCACTTTTTAAGAACCTTGTTCACTTATCGAAGACAACAGCCTCATTTTCTAAAATGATTAAATTCAGTATTTTATTGGTATGAAACTGCCTTAAAACAGACTTCTATTTGTCATGAAAACTAATGTAGTTTTAAATTACGAAAATGTGCACAATATTTTACCTTTGAATCTACCAATAAGCATATTATATAAATGTAGGGACTTTTACTTCACACAGACGATAGAAGTGGAACCCTTATTCTTGATTCTATTTTAAAAGAATTTTATTTTCTTATCAAATTCTGAATATTAAATGGAACCAAGAAATGATACCGCAAGGTAAGGATTCTGGGTATTACACAAAGCTAGAATTACGAATAACCCAAGTACTATAGAAGCATCAACACAAGAAAGTCGGTTGATAACCCAAAGCCTGTAGAAACCGCATAGAATCGATAGAAATACAAGGAAATTAGAAACATAAACACTTCAATAATAATGTATAAACACACGACTCTGAACAGAAGGTTAGAATTATATGAAAGTTCTCAAACTATTACTAGTAACCAGGGGCCCTCCACTAACTCGGGAGGGTGCTCAAAATAGCAATTTCTGTGAGACATTTTTAGTCAGACCGTAATAATATATGCATCGTATACGCAAATTACGCCATAAAGTTATGTGCCCAGCTGACCTGACACAGCGGTAAGCCTGTGGACTTATAACGTTAGAAACCAGGTTTCCATATCTGTGATGGGCACATCATAGATATAGCATATTGTGTAGCTTTGTAATTCACCATAAAAAACTGAATTGGGGCCCACATAAGGTAATTCTTCTTTACCTCCACCCCACCCCCACTCACCCAAGCATTCAATTACGGAAAACTGTTTGTAACTAAATATAGAAATGCGTACGACAAAATTTTTGACTGAAGTGAAGAAAGTATAGTTTTATTCTTTCTAGGTTTTGTTGTTATAGTTTTATCCTTTCTGGGTTCTGTTGTTATAGTTTTATCCTTTCTGGGTTCTGTTGTTATAGTTTTATCCTTTCTGGTTTCTGTTGTTATAGTTTTATCCTTTCTGGGTTCTGTTGTTATAGTTTTATCCTTTCTGGGTTCTGTTGTTATAGTTTTATCCTTTCTGGTTTCTGTTGTTATAGTTTTATCCTTTCTGGGTTCTGTTGTTATAGTTTTATCCTTTCTGGGTTCTGTTGTTATAGTTTTATCCTTTCTGGGTTCTGTTGTTATCTCCTCCATTTATCTATCTACCTGAAGAGTTCAAGAACATGTATATCGGATGTATCTTCGTTCCAACGTAATAAAATCTAAGCTGCGGTGTATTAATCTATCAATACCTGACGCTTTGTAGTTCAGGTATTAGAACAACGCATAATTCAAACTGTTTGCTGTTGTTCTTAGTTTCGACTCACGAAGCTGGGTTGCTCACGTGACACCAGAGGAAGGTTTGGATGGTCGATAAGTGTAGAAGACTAAAGGCAGGCGAGGAACGTTACATTTAGAGTGCTGACGATGAGGCTGGGTTAAGTCAACACTACTATAAGCTGTTGCAGAAACTCGATTGATTTCGAGTCCAGGTAACCAATACTCCATTAAGAATGTTTGGAGGCAAGAAAAAAGGTAGGAAAAAAAATCAAATTTTCAACAGGTTTCCTGTTAGGACGAAACTGTGAATATTGTTTTTCTTCCAGAGCAGATCAAACAAGGCAGATAATCAAGTTAACAAAAAAAGGCATGATAGTCTCGTCTAATTACTAACGGAAGTATTGTTTTTCAATTTCACGTAACATTCACGAGGGCTATCTGCGCATGCTGTCTCTAATTCATAACTGATAGACTGAGAAGGAAGGCAGCTAGTCCATGCCATCCACCGCCGATACTCGGGCTACTCTAATCAAATATTGGGATTGGCCGTTACATCATAACATCCCCACGACTGAAAGGGAGAACATGTTCGATGATAGGATTCGAACCCGCAGTCTACAGGCTGCGAATCGAGCGCCCCAACCATCAGGTCTTAATGAAGTACATCCTTAAAAACTACAAATTCATAAATTCATGACTCCATCTATCTACCTATCTGTTTGCATATATATATTTCTATCCGTCAATCTTCTTTTTGTTACCTATTTATGACTACCAGCTGCGTATATTGTGAAATGCATATTTGACGGCACATATCAGTAAAGTAAGATAATGAGTTCTTATTTTAGGTTTTATTTCAAAACTTTAGTCCCCAGTGGAACAGCGGTATGTCTGCGGACTTACAACGCTAGAATCCGGGTTTCGATACCCGTGGTGGGCAGAGCACAGATAGCCTATTGTGTAGCTTTGTGCTTAATTACAAACAAACAAACAAGACTTTATTTCAATCTCAAAATAATAATAACAAATAAAAGATGGTGACTTGTTTCTTTTTCAAATATTCTACTATTAATATACAATATTAATATTTACTGGAATTCTGCCATTTTCTTTCTTATGCTTGATGTAACGGACACGACCGACAAAACAAATAATATAGACTGCTTAATCTTGGGAATCTGAAATTTATATACAGCAAATTACTTTATTTAGTAGAGACATGTTTTTTCAGAGCTTGTTTCACTGTCTAGTTTTTCTGCTTTATCTTAATGATAAAAAGTCGTTTCTACTAGGTCGTTTTTCGTTCTATTTTTGACGGGATAAAGAAATAAAACAAACTGAAATCAATTACTTAATGAATAACAGCACAGAATTCTTGTTTCCCTGTTTGTAGTTAAACACAAAGTTACACAATGGGCTATCGTCGAAACCCAAGTTTTAGCGTCGTAAGTCCGCAGACACACCGCTGAGCCGCTCGGGGGGGGGGGAGCAGAAGACTTCCTGAAGACCTGCGAAACAAACAAAAAAAGTTCCAATGACTGCCACGGTAGCACCTACTTCATGGTTGCAGACTACCACAGTAACACCTACTTCATGGTTGCAGACTACCACAGTAACACCTACTTCATGGTTGCAGACTACCACAGTAACACCTACTTCATGGTTGCAGAATACCACAGTAACACCTACTTCATGGTTGCAGACTAATATCGTTACGTACTGTACGAATCAAGCGTGGTTTCACCGTGTGGTCTCACTTGAATAATCATTCGTAATTATTAGCCCAAAGTACGCGTTCAAGTCGATGTTGTGTTAAACAAAACAGTGTACTTAGCTGCCCAGCTGTGACACGAGTGTTTGGTTAAGTAAGTTACGTAACTACAGAATCGAGAAAAACAAAGACAAATGTACGTTTCAGAAACATTCTATTTGAATTTGATGACGAGGAACTCACTTTTTAGAAAATAAGAGTTTGAAGACGGCTTGATTGATAATGAAGAAAACTTTATTATAAATGTAGGACGTTTTGAAAAGGTTCATCCTCAGCTACCTAAGAATTCCATTTATTGCTACCATAGTATCGTTATGGTCGTAAAAAAATGAAATATTTGTGAAACTTACCATTGTCTTTGTTCTTCCTCAGTTATACCCATGGAGTTTCAGCAAGTAACAACGATTTCGAGTTTTATTTATGTAAAGAAATAACTTTTGATTGGAAGGAGATCTTGCTTCAATAACTTTGTCTTAGAGTGTTAAGATGTAAACTTACATTATTATCTCAAAAAATATAATACCAGACTTAATAAAGAACAAGTAAAAAGAGAGTATCGGCTGAAAAAATATTTTATCATATTTGGTATATAATAATTCACTATATCCTCTTGCTCTGATAACATTCAGGGTGACCTTAACTTAGCTTACAGGGCACTGTTAGACATCATGTTTGTTTTTAAAGACACACGATGATTTTATTTTAGAATTTTTGTTGTTGTTCCGAAGGCACAGTTTAGCCCTGTTGTAGAATTCTGAATTTTGGAGCTGGTGAGCCAGATTCGAACCTTTGTAATACCACAAAAAATACTCCCTCCCAACTTTAAGCTGCGGGTAACTTTAAGCTACGGAATATAAGAGTAACAGTCAATCCCTTAGTGTATATGGGGTGGTGGTAGAGTTCTGCTGATAGGCACTTTAAGCTGTAGGTGCAATTAAAGAGTGACAGTCAATCTCATAGTGTATATGGGTAGTGGTGGTAGGGTGATGCTGATAGGCTGCCTTCCTTCTGGTAATACTTTAAAATTAGAGACGGCGGAAGATAATCTTAGTAGCTTTGAAATAAATACAAATAAGGGGTTGACTGCCACTCTTAAAATGCACTTACAGCTTAAAACACATGGAATATTTTGTGATATTGCAGGTATTAAAACCCGGCTCGCCAATTGTAAAATCCAGATCTTTACCAGTAGGTCAACCCGCGCCTGTGAATACAACTACTCGCATATTTACAGTTATTACAGCCACAGCGATTATTCAAAGAAGTGTAACCAACGTCATTTCCATTGCCCTGTAACATGCAGTTTATATGAAAGTTAATTTTGCATAGGTTCCAAAATATGATTATGAGATTGACAGTTGCACCGCAAAATTGCACAATATATAACAGATACCCCCAAGCTGATTACTGCTGCCCCCAGTTTCAATATTTTGTAATAACAAATTCTACCAGCTTTATGAAATGGAAATTAATCTGTATCATGCACTAAGTAAACTATGCCCGTAGCCTCGAAATTAAGTCATGGCATTGTATCTACAGTACAACAATGTATAATAATTGTAAACTTGACCTATTACACTACTATTATAAATGAAAAATTAATAAAAACTTTCATTTATAGATTATTAATAATGTCTTCATTTATATTGTAAAAAAATATTACAAAATGATCCAACATGAAAGTACACTTCATGTTAAAACGTGTCAGATTTTATTACAATACTAGCTGAGGTATCCGTCCTTTGTCCAGGTTACGAACTTAAAGAAATGTGGAGGTGGATGCTATGATAAATAACACAAAAATCCTAACTTTCGCAATTTTTTTTATAACATAACATATTATTACAGTGTTCATTATTACTTCACTAAATGTTTTGTATACGGTTTAAGAACTCAATGTGTATATACTTAAAACATACACTGTGTGATGGTCAGGGTGACTTTGTAGGAAGAGGTAGCGGACAAAGTTATGACGGTAGTGGTGCTTTCTGTTACCCGCTTTCAACACGCAGCTCTTAATGTCCTTCCACAGCGTTTCACGTGATTAATTATAGACGGTCATTGGCCGCAAAAGTGTCTTACGGGGCCGAACTTGAAAGGTTACGGGTCAAAGCTAGGAAATTGATACGAGTCAAAAACGGCTCTTCATATCAGCCTTATTGTGGTTGTTAGAGTAGAAACTACACCTGAGTTTATATGTTATTGCAATAGTGGTGACAATTTTTTGTGTGTGTGTATGTCCTCCCCCTAGACAGACACACACATTTTTGTTCTTTATATATAGATCTAATTTAGACAAGAACAAATTTTTCATTTAGGATTTTTTTAAATGATATAACTTCAGTTCTTTTTCTTTTACACACAATTGCTCAGCAGTAAGTCTGAGACCTTATAACCCTAAAAACATGAGTTTCGATACTCGCGATGGATATTGCACAATAGCCCATTGTGTACCTTTGTGCTTAACATCAAACAACTTTTCTCGAGTTAAATTATTTTTGAATTTAATAATCATTCATTGCTCAAAGAAAGGTTCGATAAAAATACGACCATCGTCATTAATTTACGATTTTTACCAGGTTATCTGTTTAACAACTTTATAGTTCAAAAATGGAATTCTTAATATGCAGTTCAAAATACATAATATTTATCTCTTGTAAAACTATCGTTAGCACCAGGTATTTGCAACAAAAAAGGGGGATTTCTTAAATGTATTTTGCGAATTTCCTAAATGAAAATAACATTTAAATTTTAGCGTAATAGGACAACAACAACCTAACGAGAAAAATGTAATATCATCTCGACTGCATATCTTGTGCTGCATGCTGATGCTAGCAAGGCCTTGTACTCATCACCAGAACCCATTAGGCCATCTGGCTATGTGATAGCTTTCTGGAGTTGGCGAGCTCTCTTTCGTAACCATAACTCCACTTTTAGATGAGGGTATTGCTACAGATTAGCTTAGATCGTGATTTTGTAGCACACTGCTATCCTAAACGCCCAGCTGTGCAAGTACCTCCGCTTTCATGAGGAATATTGAAGGCTGTCCTCTTTGAAATATAGTGTACTCTTGATCTACGTCAATCTCGCTATACGAGTGTCCTTCATCGTATATAATTGTGGCATTTCTCTCCATACGGTTTTTTCTCAAGTCGGTATTGCACTGTCGAATGGCCGGGAATTTGCTGTGAATTATATGCATATGTGCTATGCATGAAAATAATTTTATATATGATTCTTATATGTTAATTTACGAATGTTAATGATGTCACTTAAAGCTTGAATAATTCAAATCTCATTGGTGTTGTATATGAACAGACGAAGTTTCAACATCTTACGTATCATACTCCTAACTGAACTAACGTTTCTGTTTAGCAGTTACGAAACACTCGACATTTTATTAAACGGATACGTCTGAGTTTCTTAAGCGAAAACAAAGATCGAGAAAATAAGTGGAACCTCAAATGTAAGAATTTGGAGTAGTTAAACGTTTGTAAATGAAGGAAGAAGAACCTGTCCCTCAGAATAGAGACTTTATAAACTTGTCTAAATAAAACCTAAACTAAAGACAGAAATGCCACAACTATAAATTCAAGAGGTAACGTAACCAAAAGTTCTTGATCCCTAAAGAGTTCGTGATAATACCAAAGGTCATTCTCATCATATCACAATCGTAAACAATATATACTAACGAGATTTCATGTCGTGAATGCGGTCGAAACCAGTTTAATAAGCAGAGACGAATACGTCAGACTTCCGAAATTTTGTGTTTACTACAAATGATCTGATGTAAAATGTCTAGAATACACTAACTCTTTGTTGCGAAAAAAATGCATATATATTGGAGTTTACTGATAAGGAATGAATGTAAAAGCAAAAATAAATAAATAAAGATTATGTTTTCAAGTTTTTCTACAATAAGACTAATAACATTGATCATTTCTTACACTTGAGTAAAGATTTTTCACAGTGTGTCTGTTCGTGCGTATTTTAATGAAGCATACGCACAAATATCAACATCTTAATGCGACTAGCATAAAATAACCGCGCAATGCTACGGGGTTCAAAGGCCCCATGATGATTCACAGAGACCTCGATGTGCTGATACAGCTCCTCAGATATCCTCAATTACTTCTATAGCTACCCAATGTGGGGATCCGTACCCGAAAACAAATCTCATTAAGACACATGCCCGTGTACCTAATCTCATGTGCCACTTTTGGTCCCGCTAGATGGTGAATAGGGGCATAAACACAGCTTCAAACATGGCGCTCCGATATCCTGAGGGGGGGGGGGGGCTGGAACACAAAATCCGATGCCAGATTCAGGTTCGACGACTCGGAAACCCTACTCCTAGAACTACATCGTGTCTGGGTGGCCTTCCGGGTGCGTTGTAACCCCTTGGTTGGGGCTAAGGACACCCACCGGATCACCTAGAGTCCACCTGCCGAGTTTGGACTTGCTAGATCCAAAACTATGGAAAGAGCTCACACACAAACAAAGTCACAAACACACAAAATGAAATGATATATGATGCTCGTTTGAAGTAACAGTAACCTTTATACGTCAAATAAAAATCATTAAACACGTTAGTTTGTGGCGTTTTATTTCCAGCAGATAAGACAATCTTTTAACGCGTTTTTCAGCGAATCTAATTACGATATTAAATAACACACGCACACACCATTAATACACACTACAAACAACTTCATTAACTAATGGAGCATTGTGAAAGACGTGTTTCTGACGCCACCTTTGGAGAAAATAATTAGTTTGCAATATTTCAGATAATGAAGGAGAAGAAGAACAATCACATGTCACTCGCTACAAACCTGAAAGGTTAGATGTATTGTGCAAGGCGACACATTTCACCAGAAAAGAAATACGCCTCATGTATCAAGGATTTAAACAGGTTCGTATGTCTCGATGAAACACGTATAAAATATTTCAGTTATAATAAATTCAGCATGTAGCTCAACACTCGAATATAAAATAGTAATAACCATAAAGCAAAAACTTTAAAACATTTTTCCCCAAATTTCATATCATTGTTAAAATATATTTTTATGTTATATTTTTCACAGTGTGATATAACCGTTGAAATACTGTCTTTGTGGTATTTCAAATCACAGTCGAACTTTTGAACATTGAAAAGCCGTAATATAGAAAGTTAGTTAAAAAAGAATAAAACAATCCGTATGAAATAATTCGCATTACTGATTTGGATGTCTTTTATGATTCGTTGATAATATAAAAAAAAATCTATTCTGCATGAGAGTAGACACGAATTTACCTAAGTTAGCATCTCTTTGGGCCCCCTGGTAGATCAGTGGTAATTTTACGAACGTACAATGCTAAAATCCGAGGTTCGATTCTTTATGATGGACAGAACGCAAGTACTTCATTGTGTGGTTTTGCGCTAAATCAAGCAAGCAAGCAGTTCGACGACGCACACAGGTAATAGCAGTTGGTTTGCTTTTTTAGAATGTACGCGCAAAGCTACATAAAGAATATCTGCCATAGTCGTCCCTGATTTTAAACTGATAGGCTAAAGAGAAGACAGTTAGTCAAAAGCACATACCACCAACTATTGGGCTATTATTGAGGGACGAATAGTGGGATTTGACAGTTACTGTTATCGCGTATCCAGGGCCCTAAACTTTGGAGCGCGTTTTTGGGTTATAAACGCAAACCATGAACCTTCAGATTCGCAATCCGAGCACAATTTGCAAAGATACTCAGTATGTTAAGAATGCATTTTCACAAGAACTTTCAACGACAGTTTCTTTTCTTAAAGTAAAAACAATATTTTTGGCCGAATTCTTTTATTCAGAAATTTGGTCTTTAAATTATTAAGGTCCGTTATTCACGGCATATGATTTCTGTGTAATACACCTATTTGGAGAATAGATGTCAAATGTATGGATTTCGAGTATGCTTTCAAGACGACTCGAACAATTTTTTGTTGATAACGAATTTAAGAATAGTAGTTATTTTATAATCACTTTGCTAACTAACTTCTAATGCACTTTCTGAGTGTGATTTTAATTAAGCCTAATGCCATTTAACTTATATCCTAATTGTTTTACGAGTAAGAGCTTCCAAACACATTCCATTGTGTTCAGTGTTTAGAGAGCCTATTTCTAGGTGTTTTATAGAATTGTTTACATTTCAATTACACACAAACTATATTATATTCATTCATATTTATTTTCACTAGCATGTTGAAATATTAACTCTAAAAACTATTTAATACACAAATATTAATACTTTATGTACATAGTATTGTTCCAATAATTATTTTTGAACTTAGGAATGTCCTACCGGAATGGTTAACGAAGACTCTTTCAAAGAAATATTTTCTCAGTTCTTTCCCCAAGGCGGTAAGTAAAGAAACAGTTGGAGAAATAAGCTCTATCTTATACTAAGTAAAGATAGCTTTGGTTTCCATACGAATAAGGATTAAACAAACAGTTATTCATCAATTACTTACTGAAATCAATTCCAAGTCATAAAAATAAAACATACAGCTGTAACCAAAATATAGTTTATATTTATCGTAAAACACCAGTACTAGGCATATTACATTTATAAACACTACATTCTTTATCTACTCCTTTAGAAATTTTCAAAAATTAGAAGACTTTATAATAATAGTATTCCAACCGTACTATATTACATTACCTATAACCATTGCCGACGACGCGTTTCGCTCAGTCCAAAACTCTTCAGGCCGGCTGGAATACAACAGGCCTGTGCTCTATGACAAGTATAATTTTTATCATGTTTCGCCAGCTTGTACAAGGTGTTTAAACCATAAAAATTATAGTTTATATTTCTCAGTTATAACTAAAATTTCAATTAGAACACTGGTTTATAAATAAAAGTGTCTCAGATTTTAACAAAACTAACTGTACCTGTTTTTCAAGATATGCTGTGAGAATATTCCATGTTTTGGTGTGTATTTCTTATGTATAATGAAATATATGCGGTTTAAAAGACACTGATAACTATATATAAATATATATAAACTTCAGGGTTGGTTTTAATTTTTTATGTTTGTTGAGAAACTGAGCTAAGTAGTCAGGTAAGGACTTCTGTCGTTCGAGCATAGTTGTCTCTAGTTTTGTACTGTGAAGGAAAGGCAACCAGTAGGCAGCACTCACCGCCTGAAGCGGCTACTCCTAACCAAATAGGCGGGAATGAGCTAATGTTGTTTGAAACTACAATTTTCAGGTGCTCATGTGCAGATTTTGCTATTTAATATGAGCAACTTTTGCTTCAATTTAAAGACTTAGTTATAGGCCGCAGGTCTGAATAAGGAGGCTATTTTCTTTTCCCAGTTTTTAGTCGCTTAATATTTACACTCTTGATCTCTATAAAAGAATAATTAGAATTTTCTTCGAAACTAAATTTGGGTTTTGTTTATATTTTGCAGAGATTTTAATAATTTGCAGTATTTCGGTCACTTAACACCAACTGTTCGTCTCTCACATTTTAAACATTATAGTATTCCCCGCTGTGATGGATACACTTCTTTAAATGTTATCTATAGGTTGAGTACTTTATACTTAAAACAGTTTTGAAGCCTCACCACATCATTATAGTCCACGTCACAACGTTCTGTCATGATCTATCTGACGACAGTATATTTTGACAACAGCTCTTTAGTATTTCCAATGGATTGTAAGAGTCTTCATTATCATTTTGTAATGTTTAAAGCACACTACTCTTTCCTTCGAGTTTTCCATAATCACATACAATGTCTTCAACAATACCATCGCAAGTTATGTATTCGTATAGTAGTTTTCAGCTACTTGATGTATGCGACGATTAAATAGATATGTCGTGAAAGCAGCTTGTGTACGCGTAACTGATGTCGTTTTCCCAGACAGATATTATTCTTGATTATGTTGGGTACTGTTGCCACTGGCATTTGTGTTCGTGGATACCACACTTTGTTTACCACGGTTAGGGTACGACTTATTGTAGGTTTCTTTATGAATGGTCATAATTCCTCAAGTTGATACACATTCCTTTGTTTTCCAATGCCACTAAGTACAAGGGCTATCCCCGTTTTTGAAATTATAAATCCCTGATTTGAACACATCGTGCGTGAATATTTTGCATCAGATACGGTTGTCTCACACCCTTCCAAAAATGAATAAATCTTCGGTGGCATCACAGCACAGCACCTACAAAACGCCAAACATTGTCAACCCGTAGTTTTGATAAATACCGATTCGCCGAGATTTTATATCGGCTGTGGTTGTCACGTGACTTGCTGATTTGGCATTCAAGAACATTTTAATATGATGTACTCAAACGTCTGTAAAAGCTATATATTCAATTTTATAAGCATACAAAAGTATTACATGTTAAATCAAAAATGCTGCCGTGAAAGCGCAAGTATATTAAATTGGCTAAATCTTGACACAGTGCTGGCTATAAAATCAGTTTGAGATTTAATACAAATACCATATATTTATATGGTAACCTCATATTAAACCAATGCTGTATACTAAGGCTCGAAATAACATTTTAGCCAACAGTAAGCCAACGTTTTACCACTGTAATATGCTTCTTTTTATAATCTTTATTATGTCTGTCGTATCCAAGCCGGTGTGATGAGACCTGCTATAGAAGTAAGACCTCTGGGTACAGTAAATATAGTGTGGTAGACATTTTATTTGTAATTTGACTCATAAGTTCTTATAATTTCAGTATGCAACTAAAAATAGAGCTTATATATATTTTGAGTTTTATTCTTCATTATTAAGCTTTCTTTTTTTATTCAACTATATGTGACCTTTAATTATTTATGAATTATTATAATAATTATTATTAATTATTTATTTTTATAAATAATTATTATTTAATTATTTATTTTTATTTTCTCCCTAATATAAATTTATCTAGCGTATAATCAACTCTCTTATGAAACGATTACCGTTTTTTGTGTGTTTGTTTAGAACAATATTTTATTTCGAAAGGGCATTTTTGCATCCCTTCAATTTGAAAAATTGAAACATACTTAAACTTAGTGGGTATATAAAGATGTTTATTAAGTTTAGATAAGTTTTTTCTAGATCACTGTTAGACAGAAAGAAGCGATCTTATGTTTCACAAAGAACTGGTTGAAATGTAAAATAGTTAAATAAAATGAGCAGCTTATATATATAAATCATAATTTAAAAAAAAAGAGTTTTTGTGAGCTTGCTCTTTGGAATTTTATGAGATTCATGTTTACGTATAGGAGTCTTAGTTTATCTTAATTTAAAAATTAGATTCAACTGTGTTCTGGCACTGGTTGAAGTTTATCTAAAAAGGTCTTCCATATTAATTAACGTCCTTGTTGTATAAGTATAATTAAGTAATATGTCAAGCCTTAAATATGAGAATGAAACTATTTAGAATTACGTGTCTGATTCATCTAATGGATATAGTCGAGTCAGTGTGTTAAGATGTCCCATTGAGAGTGGTAATAAAAAGCATGTACGAGCCTTGCATCCTATTTCATTAATAGTAATAAATTTTAAATAAAAATACCAGTATCTCGTCTTCATTCTTAATAATTAATCATTTGTCACCACCATTATTATGTATTTAATAACTATGCTTCATTCTTTTAAGATGCGTATATCCTTTAATACGACATTTTACTCAGAGAAAATAAAAGATGTAAAATTCTTAATTTATTTAGGTTTCTGTACAGAATTTTTAGATTCATCTTTGCTATGTCATAATTTTTAAACTTATACAGTGCAACTGTCCAATTATATTTATTGCTTAAATTAAAATATACTTTCCATGCTCCTGGCAACCCCGTTTTTTTGTGTTTTTTTTGGGGGGATTCTCATAAACTCACTTTAGAGATTAGATTTGAAAACCAAGAGAAGTAGTCGCTTTACGTTTATAAAAGTAGAGAATAAGTTTCAACTTTAGAGACTAACTTTACTTCCCGCATTGTAAAGATTCACCTGACGTCCTTCAAAGCAAGTAGCCACCTTACAATATTTCATGGTGAATGAACAGTCATCTTAAGTCTTGAAACGTAGAAAAACACTTTACATCTTGCAGGACATAGCATCATCTTACTCTGTTCTAAGTAGAAAGTAATCTTACTCCTTTTAAGGTAGAAAATCACCTTACGTCTTGTGAGGAAGAGTGTAGCATTACGCTCTTAAAGTATAGACAAACCTTATTTCCCTCAGGGTAAAGAGTCATCTTAAAAATTGATAAAAAATGGACTCTCGCATGAGTCATCTTACACATTTGAAGATAAAGGCTCATCTTACGTCTAGCAAGATAGATTTTATATTTTAAATCTAGTGAGACATCTTACTTAATATACAAAATTGTTTTCCAAAATTACACCAATTCAAGGAGACGCTAATAATTGTGTGGTAGTTCAGTTATTATACTTTTGTTATATTACTGTTCGTTCATCAGCTGATGTTTATCATTATTATTGTTTAGACGCAACTCGTTACGCTCACTACGTCTTTAGCACGTTCAAGCAGCTAAGCAATGGTGGAGCTTTAACCTTTGAGGTAAGTTCATATTCTCGCTCAGATTCTTCAGTAAATAAAACAGTCAAACCGAAACACAACCTTTATTTGTTCTATGCACGATTATACTGACATATGCGTTTATATAGAGGTATCATATTTCATTTTCTTTTATGTTTGTTTATTTTAAAGCAAAACCACGTTAGGATATCTACTGTATCCACCGAGGGGAATTGAACCCCGGATTTTAGTATTGTAAGTCCGTAGACTTATCACTATGTACCGGGGGACTTCCTTTCATGTAGAAGAGTATAGATGTAATAATGCCGTCATTAATATTAATGGTGCCAATTTATAACAAGCAATTTTACCTAGTTTTAATTATCAGTCGTAACACAGTGTACTAAATTATTCATAATTTTTAGAATCATTTACATCAACGGGCAATTTATATTATTACAATTTCAAATGGGTTGAAACTGAGTCAAGTTGTAATTTAGACTTAGTAATTAAATAAAGGCCGGTATATCTCCAATTTATGATATTTGCCAACAAGATTGAGATACACAGTTCTCTTTTTTAACACATATATGTTTCAATATACACACTACAATACAATTTACAATAACAGTTATTACACACAATGATTTATATACAAAAATGTTACAAACTTTCAAGCAATATAAAGTCTTCTTTCTAGCCTGGAACTTCCTTGATGTCTTATGGGGGGTTCACGATAAACGAGTTAATTACGAGTTGATGTAGGTACAATTCACTTAATAGGGAGCTAGGTAGCCCTGTAGTTCTCGCTGATCACACGCCGATTACAGGTCAAGTTTCCACCAATGACTTAGGTAATGTTTTCGTAAAAGTGCTAATGTCCGATGTGAATTCATCGAAGTTAAATGGTTTGTAACCCAAACTGGTGTATTTACGTGTTTTACACTCACAAAAAGAAACCTATCATTCTACTTGTTGTTAAACAAATGTTTAAACAACTCTACTTATTCAATTATGGTTTGTAACATTCGAAATTTATAAATGTTCCTGGTTAAATATCTTAAGTTTTCCGATTAATAGGTGTTATAACAATCACAGTTATAGCTTCCGAAGTTTATAGCACAATATGTATGGAAAACAAATAATAGAAACTCTTTTTTTGCGCGTCATGTTGTTATATTTATAGGCGTGTGG